GAAGAAGCCCAGACATTGTTTATATAAGACAAAATGGAAATTGACTGTCTTTAAAATATTCAAAGAACTAGAGGAAAGTATGAAAGGAACTCAAGGAAATCAAGAACAATGTATGAAAAAGTAGATAATATCCACAGATATATAGAAATTATAAGTTTGAAGCTAAAAGGTACAATAGCTGTAATGAAAATTCCACTAGACAGATTCAACAATAGATTGACCAGGTAGAAGAAAGAATGAATGAACTTTCAGGGCAAAGGAGAGAATGCAGTCTGAGGAGCAGAGAAAAAAAAAAAGAAGAAAATGAACCAAGCCTAAGGGATCCATGGGAAACTATCAAGAATACTAACAGATGCATTATAGGAGTCACAGAAGGAGAAAAAGGAAAGGATCAGAAAAAAATATTTGAAGAAATAATGGCCCCAAATTTCCTAAATCTGCTGAAACACAGGAATATGCAAATCCAAGAAGCTCAACAAATTTCAAGGTGGATAAACTCAGAGATCCACAGTAGGATACACTATAATCAAACTGTCAAATGCCAAAGAGAAAGGGTAAATCCAGAAAGCTGCAAGAAGAAGCAACTTACCATGGACAGATGATTCACAGTAAGATTAACAGTCCATTTCTCATTAGAAATCACCGAGGCCAGGAGGCAGTGGGATAATATTTTTAAAACAGGAAGGAAAAAAAGCTTGTCTCCAAGAGTTCTATATCTGGTGAAATTGCCCTGCAAAAAAATGGAGAAATACAGATATCCCCAGATAAACAAAAGCTAAGGCAATTCATCGTTAGTACACCTGCCCTACAAGAAATGCTAAAGGGAGTCCATCAGGCTGAAACAAGGGCATTAGATGGTAACTTGAGTCCAAATGAGGAAATAAAGATCTCTGGTAAAAAGAACTACAAAGATAAATATAAAAGCTAGCATTAGTCTATTCTGGGTTTGTAGCTCTTCTGTTTGTTTCCTATATGATTTAAAATACATAAGTATATAATAATAAATAATTATTAAATAATAAATGCTTAAACCAATAATTGTAAAACATATGGGCACACATGTATAAAGATGTAATACTTGACATTTACAACATAAAAGGGAGTGGAACTGAATAGGAGTTAATAGCTGAATTAAAAAATTTGCTGGGGAGAAGATCAGCTGTGTTTCTATATACCAGCAATGAACAATCCAAAAAGGAAATTAAGAAAACAATTCCATTTACAATAGCATCTAAAAGAAGAAAATACTTAGGAATAAATTTAACCAAGGAGGTAAACAAATCATGCATTGAAAACTACAAAACATTGCTGAAAAAAAATTGAACAAGAATTAATTAAATAGAAAGATATCCCATCTTCACGCATTGGAAGACATACAGTGTGAAGACAGCAACACTCTTCAAAGCCATCTACAGAGTCAATGCCATCTCTATCAAAATTCTGAAGGCCACTTTTGCTGAACTGGAAAAGCCAATTCTAAACTTCATATGGAATTGTAAGGGGCCCCAAATAGCCAAAACAACACTGACAAAGGAAAACAAAGTTGGAGGACTCATACTTCCTGGTTTTCAAACTTTCTACAAAACTGGCCAGGTGGCAGAGTGGTTAAGTTTTCACATTCTGCTTCAGTAGCCTGGAGTTCACTGGTCTGGATGCCATGTGCGGACCTACACACTGCTTGTGAAGTCATGATGTGGTAGGCATCCCACATATAAAGTAGAGGAAGATGGGCACGGCTGTTAGTTCAGGGCCAATCTTCCTCAGCAAAAAGGAGGAGGACTGGCGGCGGGCATTAATCTTTCCCCCCCAAAAAAAATTACTACAAAGCTACAGCAATCAAAAACCATGTGGTACTAAATAAAGATAGACATATAGACCAATGGAATAGAACTGAAAACCCAGAAATAAACCTGAACATCTTTGGCCAATTTACTTTTGACAAGGGTGCCAAGACCATTCAGTGGGGAAAAAATAATATGTTCAATAAATGGCACTGGTACAACCTAAAAACTACATGGCAAGAATGTAGTTGGATCCCTACCTAACTCCATACACAATAACTAATTCAAAATGGATCAACAGCCTAAATATAAGAGCTTAAATCATAAAACTCTTAGAAGAAAACACAGAGAAAATCTTCATGACCTCTGTTTTGGCGCTGGATTCTTAGATTTGACACCAAAAGCACAAGCAAGAAAAGGTAAAATAGATAAATCGGATTTCATAAAAATTAAAAAGTTTTGTGTACTAAAGATAGTGTCAAGAAAGTGAACTGACAATGTATAGGATGGGAGAAAATGTTTACAAATCATGTATCTGATAAAGGTTGAGTATCCAGAATATATAAGGAACTCTTATAGCTCAACAACAAAAAGACAAACAATTAAGAAATGGTCAAAAGTCTTGAACCAACATTTTCCCAAGATATAGAAATGACCAGTAAACAGAGGAAAATATAGAAACATCATTAATTATTAAGGAAATGTAAATCAAAACCACAGTGACATATCACTTCATAACAACCTGAATGGCTAAAATCAAAAAGAAAGAAAGAAAAATCACAAATGTTGGTGAAGATGTGGACAAATGGGAACCCTTGTACATTGCTGGTGGGAATGGAAAATGGTGCAACCACTGAGGTAAAAAGTTTGGTGGTTCCTCAAAAATGTAAACATAGGATTACCATATGACCTAGAAATTCCACTCCTAGGTGTGTATCCAAGAGAAATGAAAACATATGATCCACACAGAAATTTATACACAAATACTTATAGCAGCATTAGTCACAATAGCCAAAAAGGTGGGAAAAACCCAAATGTCTACCCACAGATGAATGGGTAAATTGTAGTATATGTATACAAAGGAATATTATTTATCTACAAAAAGAATGAATACTGATACATGCCACAGCTTGGATGGACCTCAAAATCATTATGCTAAGTAAAAGAACCCAGATACAACAGGTCAAATACTGATTGATTCCTTTTATATGAAGTATCCAGAATATGTAAATCCATAGAGATAGAAAGAAGATTATAGGCTGCCGGGGGCGGGGCCAGGGGTAGGAGACAGAGGAGGGAAAGTGATTCGGTACTCACTGTGTTGTGGACCTACAGCTTACCAGGTATGGTTGGTTGTTGTGAGGGATGAAAAAGTTTCAAAACTAGGGAGAGGTGGTAGTTACACAATATTTTGAATGCACTAAATGCCTCTGAGTTGTACTTTAAAATAGTTAACTGTATGTTGTGTGAATTTCACCTCAATTTTTAATAAAGGCTCATAGAGTTATGTTTAGCATAACTCCCCTTGAATTTTAAAACATGCAGATATACACGAGAGAAAAATGTTAGATCATACTTCAAGACATTAAAGATGATTATCAATGAGTGATGGGAAATCAGGTAATTTTAATTGTTTCCTCTTCACTTAAATTATTTTTAAAATTTTCCAAAAATGTTAGGAAATTGTTGCATGTTGAATTCTTTAGTATGTGGGAAAGAAATACGATAGTGATATTGACTACCAGATTTTTAGGAGCATGAGGAAGATGCTTAAATTTTAGAGTTAAATAAGGATAAAAGAAAACTGTACTGTGTATATAATATGATCCCAAGTATTTAAAATGCACTGCTCATGGTAACAGGATCTCTGTGGGAGAGAGGAAAATGAGTGGCATTGTCCCTTTCTGCTTTCAAAATTTTCTTAATGAACATTTATCACCACTATAATCAGAAAAATGATTTTATTTTTAAAATGTCTACTACTGGGTAAGCTAGGTGCAAAAAGGTAGAGGTTTGGTAAATGTACTTGGTTTGATAAGGAGAATATTTACGCTAGAATCATGGATTTTCACACAGACTATTCCTTGTAGAAAAATTGTAAAGTAGAGAAAATGTACAGAGGGAAACTTAAATCACCAGGCCCTAACCTCTCAGATATGCTTAGTTGTTTTCTGAACAAAATTGGGCTTGGTCTGCTTAGAAACAACAGTCCTTCACTTCCATCGTAGCGAGATCATCAGCAGAGTTTGTTGAGCTAATATTAGTCTATTATGCGCCGGGCCAGCTCCATCAGAAGTGTGGCTCTCTCGATGGAGAACAGAGAATCCTGAAAGGATAATGATTGGTCTTTGGTTGCCTGGTAAGCTTTCTCACTTCACATGGTATCAGCAATTTAGTCATCTGAACTTCCTCTGGGGACTCAGCCCTTTCCCGGTCTTAGTCCACATGGTTTGGGTGGGACTGACTCCAGCCTACCCAAAAGAAACTGACCTAGGATTGAGTCAATTAGTGGGTTCAATTCCTAGGGTCATAATGATTTGTTAATTTAGGCCAATAAAGGTCAAGTGCAGGACTTTTGTTAAAAACACGGACAAGAGAGACGGACTCTATCACTCTGAGCATTTGTAACTTAAAAAGAGTTGTTAAAATCCCCTAGGAAGGAAGCTGTGCTGATGAGCAGGTTGCTACATGGATTTGGTAGATGGTGGCCATGCTTTCTTCTCATCTTGTGCATCCCTCTGCTATGGCCCTTCCCGTATTGTGCTCTGCTCACTGATGCTTCTCTCTCCTCCACAAGACAGAAAGCTCTCTAAGGGAAGGAGACACATCTCCACTATGTTTGGTCATGGCACAGAGAAGGGGCCAAATACACATCTGCTGAAGAAATCCTGATGGACTTAGCAACATGGAAATGAGGCATTGGTGGTTCCATCACTGGGGACTCAGGTTTCTGGGGCTCCAATACCTCTACTGGCTGATACCACAGCACACACTCTCCACTTTGTACCCTTGGGTTCCTGCTCTAGGCTGGAACAAGTGGTCCACCCTGAGTCATCCACTGTGGGTTCCGATGTGGTCACTGCATGATTCCCACACAACCACCCAGAGGACATCTTCAGGCAGGAGTGGGGGAGGGAAGCTTTCATAGAAAGCCATCTCTGATGAAGCACCACACAACCACAGGGGGACTTGAGGTCACTGATCCCATCTGTACCTCCTTCCTCTCCTCGGGGATAAAAGAAGCAAGGAGGAAGCACCAGTCTCTCTGACCTGGGCAACTTTCCTGGAAAGATGCAGCCTCTCCTGCTCCTGCTGGTGTTTTTACTGTCCCCTGGGACAGAGGCAGGTGAGTGACCATCCCCGCCCTCAGATGCCCAACCCCTCCCCCCAAACACAGTGGGCACAGATCTCCTGCCCCTTCTGCACATCCCTGATCCATCCATCCACCAGCAACATTCTGAATCCCAGCTCCCGTCCCACCTCAGAATCCCAAGTATGACGCTGGGTAAGCTACCAGCAGGAATGGCAGGGCAGAAGGCTGTTCTCAAGAAGAGCCAGTGGGTGCTATTCCCTCCCTAGGCCCTATATTTGCCATCTGGAAAGTGGAAGTTGACTGGAAGTGCATGGCAGAGAGAAGAAAACTGGAAAAGAGAAAATAATCAATTCCCCTGCAGAGGGCAGAGTGGGCCTGGCTTCCAGGTCTGGGATGAACAGATGCTCCCCTCAGCGTCAGCTTAGGAGAGAAGTCTGGAGCTCGGCAGACCCAGGAGTTGGTGGGACCACTGTCCCCAGAGGACTGCTATGCCTTGCTCAGTCCCAAGGCCCCTCAGTCCCTTCTCCAACTATGCTTTTCTTCCCAGGCCTTTAGCAGCTCCCTTCTTTCCAGGATGGAGCCACTGTTTGCGGACCTGAACTTCTCTGCTTTCCAGAATCCCACAAGCACTGGCTCTACAAACTCTCCTTCAGGCCCATCGGGGGCCATTCCTTCATGCAGCCAACAAATAGCTTTTGGGCCCCCACTATGTGTCAGGCCATGGGAAACAGGCTATGACAACGTCTAGGTCCCTAAACTTAAGTCCTGGCCACTGGAAAGCAGCACTATCCTAGACATCACAGGACAACAGGGCCTTAGAAAGGCTCTTGAAATAAAGCAAAGTCAGGAGAGGAATTTTCAGGAGCCTCTAGGATTTTGCTGTCCCTAAGACGCATATGCTCACCTCCAATTATCTGTGGAGGACAGATTCACAGGCCAAGCCTGCTCCTCTTCCTTTTTCTAGAGGGAAAGCCCCTCTCAACTCCAGGCCATCTTGGGCTCCCAGATGCCCAGCAGTCCTGCTGTCAAGGTGACGCATGCATGGTGGACTCGCTGGGAACGCACAAGTAGCTAAGACTTTTCCTTCAGGGGAGATCATCGGGGGACATGAGGCCAGGCCCCACTCTCGACCCTACATGGCATTTGTTCAATTTCTGGTTGAAGAGAAAAATCACAGGTGTGGCGGTGTCCTCGTGCAACAGGACTTTGTTCTGACGGCTGCTCACTGCTGGGGAAGGTGAGGGGACAAAGATATATAACACAGCCTGAGGCCCCAACAGGGACCCAGTCCTCTACCCAGGGGCTGCTGCCCAGGGGAGCTTCCCCGGCTCATGGTAACTCAAGGCCATGACAGCTTATGAGAGGAACCATCTGAGAGCACGACTGGGTGATGGAAAGTGAGAATAGGACAGGCAAGCTTTGGGGTCAGAGGGTCAGAGGTGAGAGCTAGTGGCCCAGTTGAGAAGAGAGACCACATTGGTCAAATGAAGCAGCTGTGGAGGATGAAACCATTCACTAGGGTCAAAAGGCAAACTCAGAGTCCTTTCACAATATTACCTGAGGGCTGAGAAAGCTCCCAGAATCCCCTCTCGGAGTCACCCACTGCCCAATACTCCTGTTGTTTTGATTTCTCCTTCCTGAAGCCCTGCCCTGCCCCAGCTGACACCTGCCCTTCATGGTTCCTGGGCTGGATCTCCTGTGACTCCATGCCCCCCACACCCCTCACCCTGCTTTCTGTGTAGCTCAATCAACGTGACCCTGGGGGCCCACAACATCCAGAAGCAGGAGAGGACCCAGCAGGTCATCTCTGTGAAGGAAGCCATCCCCCACCCAGACTATAAACGTAAGAAGTTCTCCAATGACATCATGTTGCTAAAGGTAAGGGAACCTCCCTGCTGCTCTTGCTGTCCTGGGTCCAGATTGTTTCCCCTCCCACTGGGACCTGTCCCTTCCCTCCTTCCCATCCTGGCCACCTGACTAGTCCCAATGGTTCAGGGCAGAGGGAAGTCAGTGCAGCCCCATCACGGTGTCCAGGCCCAGGAGGCCAGTGGTTGAGCTGGACTTTCTTGCCTCTGTCATCAGCTGGAGAGAAAGGCTACTCAGACTGCAGCTGTGAGGCCCCTCAGCCTGCCCTGGGGCACAGCCCAGGTAAGGCCTGGAGAGGTGTGCAGTGTGGCTGGCTGGGGGAGAGTCACCCGAAATGGCAGAGCATCAGTCACTCTGCAGGAGGTGGAGCTGACCGTGCAGCAGGACCGCGTGTGCAAATCCTACTTACGCAATTACAACAGTACCACTCAGCTTTGTGTGGGGGACCCGAAGGAAAAGAAGTCTTCTTTTAAGGTAAGACTGGGCATCTACCCAGCTTGGCTCTGGGGAGAGGGGTGTTTTGGGACTTTCAAACCCAAGCAGTGGGAACTCCTTCACCCCTTAGACTCTGATCTTTCTCCTGGGAAGACAAGGGGGAAAAGCCAGAGTGGGGAGTCACAGGCCTTCTGGGAGCCTACCAGGGGCCTGAGATGCATCCAAACATGGTGCTCCATTCAGAAGATGAATTGGCAACACTCTGCCCCACGCCGGGCACAGGTGTTAGGAAAGTGCTCCCTGGGTGTGCAGCAGTCAAACAAGGTGGCTCCTCAGAGCTGGCTCCCATTTTGATTAAATGGCTCACCCTCCATGCTGAGTGTCAGCCCCACCTGCCTGCTTCCATGTCCTTAAATGGTAGACCAAATAACAGTCCCACAGCGCCCTCATGGGGAGAGGATCCAGGACCTGGGGGAGGAGAGGGAGGCCCCCTTGAGTGAAATGAAGCTGGGACAATGTCCAGGGTCAGAACTGGGCAGCTGAGGGGCCCACAGGGGCCTGCCCCGCTCTCTGATCTCCCACATGGAGGCCAGGCCACGCAGCCTTCACTGAGAAGGCACTTGGGATGCTGGTGGGTAGGAGCAGGGCAAGCACGGACTCAATCCTCCCCACTCTCTGTCCACAGGGGGACTCCGGGGGCCCTCTTGTGTGTAACAACTTGATCCAGGGCCTTGTCTCCTATGGAAGATGCAACGGGACTCCTCCACGGGCCTTCACCAAAGTCTCAAGCTTTATGCCCTGGATAAAGAAAACCTTGAAGGCCACATGGCAGAGTGGCTAAGTTCGTGCACTCCACTGAGGTGGCCCAGGGTTTTGCCCGTTTACATCCTAGGCGCGGACATGGCACTGCTCAACAGGACATGCTGAGGCAGCATCCCACACGCCACAACTAGAAGGATCCACAACTAAGAATATACAACTATGTACCAGGAGGCTTTGGAGAGAAAAAACAGGAAAAAACTAAAATCTTTAAAAAAAAAAAGAAAAGAAAACCATTAAAAGCCTCTAACTGTAGGAACCAGCCCACCTTCTCTGGAGCTGATCCAGAATGACACCATAACTAAATAAATGTCTCTAAGCTGAGCGGGAAGGGCTGGTTTCTCGTTTATTTATTGACCCTCATTCACAGGCACTAACTGCTTAGAAGGCCAATGGCACAAACCTGCTGTTTTCTGGTTCCTCCTCTTCCACCTCCCACCATCATCTCCCCCAAACCTCATGCAAGGCTGTTACCCAGCTCCTTGTGACCCACACCTATCTCTGGATCTACCCTTCTGCCAGGGCTGTAGCTGAGCACCATCAGGACAAAACATGAACCTCTCTGGTCCTGGGGCTCAGGGTGAACTTCTTACCTCCTTCCCTGTGTTATATGGCAGACAGAAAGGGGGATGACACGATGGGTTCTGGACACCAAGGAGGCAAGCATGGGGCTGCAGCTCAGTGGCATAGCCACACACACTGGGGAGGGGAGAGGCTGCCTGAGCAGGACATTTCTCTCCCACAGCCAGGGAACTGACGCGGAGTCAGGGTGGGTCTCTGGAGAAGCTCCTCGTTCTCACCCAGACTGAGTTTCCTCCCTACCCTCCTGTGACCTTGGGGCCCAGCTTGCCCTCAGGTCTCCCGGCTGCCCCTTCTTCTCCATCCCTGCTTTCCACTGGGAGTTCTCAGAGTCCACCAACTCCTGTCCCCTCCACACAAGCCTGATCTGAGTTGGCCCCATCCATATAGCCCTCCTTCTTAGGACACCCAGAGCTGCGTGTGGTTCCAGCAGGGCCTCTCCCTGAGATGCCAGGCTAGCTCACGCCATGGCAGAGAGTGCCACAAGGAATCAGGCTCATGCTGGCAAAAGGCGGGACCCATGGAGAACACAGCAGGCAGGCTGTCTCTCCAGAACCCCAGCCCCATCTCTCACCTGACAAGGCCAGCTCAATCCCTCACATTCAGCCCAGTGACTCCTCAAGTACTCAGGGTGCATTGGCCACTTGGTCATTCAGTGGCCTGTGTACATTTCAGCCTGTCACTCTTAGTCATTCCTGGACTCTAGGCTAAGACCCCTTACTGGACACCTAGGGCTGTCTTAGCCTTTTGAGTTAGCCCTACCCTCTCTGCAGTAGGACTGGAAAGCACCATTTTTCCATCAATAAACAAACACACCCTGATTGAGCTCCTAAGGGCCTGGCACTGGGGATCCACAGTGGACCTAATACAGACTCTGTCATCAGAACCCAAGGGACACTGACAATGTGAGTTTCACCCAAATCATGTAACTCTCTCTGCCTCCTCACATGAGTGCACATGGCCTAGATCTCGTGGGAAATCCACAGGAATAAAGTACTTGCATTCTGTTCCTATTGCTGGTCACAGTCCATGTGAGCGTGAGCACATGTGACTCTAGAACAGCAGGGCATGGGATTTGGAAATGACATTAGTCATTTAGTTTCTCTGGGTGAAGTCACCAAATTCTGTCCACTGGAGCATCGTCTTCACCTAGAGGAGAGGGCAGCCCGTAGGGAGGGAGAGGGGCAGCGAGGGCAGCCTTACCTTCATTTGCCTCAAAAGTGGGACATAGGAGTGTCATTGCACAGATTAAGATGGTAGGAAAAACTGTATTACGTATTTGCTTGCAGGCAACTAGAGTCAGATTCTAAACACCCATCCAACTGGACTGGCTGGAAACATGATCGCTGTGGTTACTGTACCTCCTGCCTGCGCAGAATCAAACCAGTTTCAGGGAGATTCACACACTCTGGAAAACTGGAGAAAGGCCTCTCCTCTTTAGACCATCACTGTTACTGCTGCATCCATAGGTTCCAGACCACCCAGATTTTTTTACTTTAGGAGGGTTTTGGCTGGAGGCCACACATAGAGTACTGGATCCTTTGCTGAATGAGGATCTCCCTGAGTTGGGCTCAGCTCAGGAAACACTCCCAGCAGTCATCTCTCCAAGGGCTTGCCACTCATCTGGGTCACGACCTGGGAGCTGAGCATATGTCCCAGCTCTGAGCTATTGCTCCAAACACACACAGCACTACCCTCTCTCCACAAGGGGAACGTACTCTGGGATCATGTAACCCTCACAGGCATGGTCTTTCTCATCATATTGTGCACAAAGCAGGTACCAACATCATCTCTTCGTGACTGCGGACACTTTCACAAGGGGAGAGCAATGAGGACACGCAGCTTCTGATCTGGAGCCGAAAAAATATCTCTGTATCTAAGACATACTAAGAACCTGGATCCTTGATGGAAAAATACAAAAGAGAAAATGCCAAAAGCAAAGCAAAAATAATATTTAAAAAAGTAGCCCAGCCACGTGCATATTGAGTTTAGATATCACATGTACTTGGGGAAATGGTTCTGTGGTTAAAACATGTTGAGAACCCCTGGTCTAGGTCTTCCTCCTCCTGTGAGAGATGAGAGAGGGACACAGTCCCAGAAGGGGGCAGTGGCCGACTGAAGGGACCACAGAGTTAGAACAGAGCCTGGACTGAGCCCAGGCACCCTGACAGCCAGGCCAGCAAGAGCCCTGACATGTGGTCTAACCCCCGCCCCGTGATGACTTCCTGGCATCCCTGAACAAGAGCAGAGCTTCTGCTCACACACCTCCCTGGAGAGAAAACCTCTGGGCTGCTGTGCAGCCATTCTGTGACAAGGATTCCAAGGCCTCCCTTGGTGAGCTGATGTCTGCTCAGGGGCACATTTGGATGGGGGTGGGTAAGCACCCTAATCCTGCTGATTCCTTCAAATCTCCTTTATCTGTGGAAGTATTCTCTACCTCACTCCTGCCTTTGAGGAAATGACCCTTCTGTTGCTCAACATGTTTGTAACTAAAATTTAAGAATAAAAATAAACAAAATATCTCTACAATGACCTCAAGGAGATGCTTCTACTCACCAAACGTCACCCACATCACCCCTTCTTCCATCCAGACCCACAAGAAGAGCTGGGTCCCAGGTTGGCAGGGAGAGAACCGCCAAGCCAGCTCCTGGTAGAGAGAGGCCCAAAGGAAAGTGAGATCTTGCTAATTTATTTCGTGAATGTGTCTCGGGATGGCTCTGCCTTCCTGCCCACCACCGTACTTCTGCTGGTTCCCCCTTTGTGGACTTACAGAACTCACAGGGTTGATTTCCTGTCTTGGTATTCCACACAACACTGCTTTTTTCCAACAAACACATTTCACCATAAAAGAAGTGCAGCCACTGGTTCCTTTTCGTCATAGGACTATTGCTAGATGACATTCCTCATCCACAGATTCAGGAAGCTCAGTGAAGCTTGGGGAGAACAAAGGAAACCACATGTAAGCATAAAATATTCAAACTGGTAGAAACCAAAGATAGGGGCCCCCCAGCAGTGCAGTGGTTCAGTTTGTCTACTCTGCTTCGGTGGCCCTGAGTTTGCTGGTTTGGATCCCAGACGTGGACCTACACACTGCTCATGAAGCCATGCTGTGACAGGCACCCCATAAACAAAAACACGTGGAAGAGGATGGACATAGATGTCAAGTCAGGCCCAATCTTCTTCAGAAAAAAAAGAAAAAAAAGATGAAAACAAAAGGCTGAAAGTAGACAGAGAGGAAAGCAGTATGCTTTACTGTATAGAAACAACAATAAGATTAACAATAAGCTCTCATCAGAAATGATGGAAGTCAGAAGACAGTGAGATGACATTTCTAAATGTTTGGAAAGAAAAAAGAGATAGGCAACCTCTTTCTGGAACTCTATGTTCAGTGAACATATTGTTGAAAAATTAAGGGAAAGCAAAGACATTTTCAGAAAAATAAGGCTAAGAGAATTTGTTGCCATCGGACCTGCACTGCAAGACAGACTGAAAGCGGTTCCTCAGGCTGAAGGGAAACGATCCCCATCGTAGGAAGGAAGGAAAAAGAATAAAAGAAGTGTAAATGTGACCTAATATAAAAGACTTTATATAAATTTGTTTCAATGGTTAACGACTATTTAAGGCAAAAATGCTTTAGGATTTATGCAATATAGTAGCAAAATGTATAACAAAAATAACTCAAAGGGTGGGAGGGAGGATAAATGGAAATATTTTATTGAAATGTTCTTATATGAAGTGGTATAATAGTAATTCAAAGCAGACTGTGACATGTGAATGAGGAATATTGCAATCCTACAGTACTCACTAAAATACTATATAGAGATCTAACCAAAAGCCGATAGAGAAAGCAAAAAGAGATACAACAAAGGAAGGCAGGAAAAGCAGGACACAGAAACAAACAATTAATCACACAAATAGGAATCAAATAGCAATATGGTATTCTACAACCTACCCCTATCAGTAGTTGCATGAAATGTAAGCAGATTAAACACTCCAATTAAAGAGCAGAGACTGTCAGTCTGGATAAAAAATGCAAGACCAATTTTGTGCTGTGTACAGGAGACACTCCAATATAAAGACATGGATAGGATGAGAGCAAAATGATGGAAGGGAAAATAAAGACATATCCTGCCACACCAATCCAAAGAAAACAGCCTTGCTCATGGAGCGTGCTCTTTAACTTCAGAACTTCAGCCACCTGAGATGAAATAGAGTGTCTTGGTAGAATTTTATTTCCATTTTTTCCATATTTTATTTCCATTTCTCTTAATATGATTGAGATAAGACTTCATTATGTTTTAATTATATTTTACTGTGAACTGTCTTGTCTTTTGCCCATTCTTCTATCAGGTGTTGGTCTTTTGCTTCTGAATTTTCAGAGTTCTTTATATATTAGATAGATTAGCTCTTTAAGTGTGATATGTATTGCAATAGTTTTTTGCTTTCCATGTTTGCTGTCTGTATTTTGATTTTGCTTGCATGCTTTTTGGCATACAAATTAAAAAAGTTTTTTATTTATATATTGAAGTTTATTTATCAATCTTTTCTTTTAATGTTTCTGGATTTAGAGTCATTTCTAGAAAGGCCTTCCCTTTTTTAAGTTATAAAGGAATTTACCCATGTTTATTTCTACTGCATGAATGGTGTTATTTTGTATATTTGAAGATCTTATCTGTTTGGAGTTTACTCTGGTGGTTTACATGAAATGTGACTCCAACTTAATCTCTTAACAAATCACTGTCTAGTTGTTCCAGTGTCATTTATTAAAAAGTCCATCATTTCCCCAATGATCTGAAATCCTACCTTATGAAAAACTACATTTCCATATGTGCTGGGGAATGTTTCCGGATTTCTTTTTCTGTTTGATTCATCTCTCTGTCTGTTCATGAGTCAGGGCCACACTGTTTTCAGTAAAGAAGTTTTATAAGATTTTTTAATATCTGACAGTGTTAATCCTCTCCATTACTAGTCTTTTTCCTTTTTGTCACAATTTTCCTAGCTAATCTTGCTTGTTTATTTTCCAGATAAATTTGGAAATTGTCTAGAACTTGTGAAAAATTGATATTTTTATAGGAATCACATTAAATGTATATATTACTTTGGGGAGAAATTATACGTTTTTGGTGTAGATCCATCCTATCTGAGAACTAAGACTATCTTTCTATTTCTCAAGTCTATTTTTGTGGTTTTAGGACTATTTAAAAGTTTTCCTTGAATAGATTTTTCACAATTCTGGTTAAGCTTTTCCTGGCATCTTGGGTTTTTTGTTGCTTCTATAATAGATTTTCTTTATACTTATATCTTCAAACTGATGGTTGTTTGTATATGTGAAAGCTATGGATTTCCTCCTAATTTTAAACCAATCTCAAACTTACAGAGAAATTGCAAGTACAATACAAAGAATTTCTATTTTCTTGAGCAGTGAGAGGGCAAAGTTACTGACATGGTGCTCTGTCACTTCCCAAATACTTTGGTGTGTAATTCCTACAAACAAGGACACTCGTACATAACCACATTCCAGCCACCAAACCCAGGAAACTAACATTCATATCATCAATATCAACTAATCTTTAGACATCTAATCATTAGCTTTACTATGTTTACTTATTAGATTAATCCTCACAGAGATTTATATAACAAATCTCCCACATTCCCATCTTCCCCTATGTGGGTCCCCTTCTTCCTCCATGTAGGCTCTGGCATTCCACATCAGCAGCCCCTTTATGCCAAAGCCCACCGCACCCTAAGCAGCCTGATCTGACAAATGGCACCAGCCTGCCCCCCTGTAGAGGTCTCTGTCTCCCCACTTGAGCTCCAATACCACCTACTAGGACAACCCCTTGTGTGAACACCCTGCTCACCCAGCTTGGGCATCCACTCCCTGCACTTGGCTGCCATCCTCGCCTCACATGTATTCTGACACCCCAAGCCATGCAGCCCAGTGCCGGGTGTCTGAGGTAATGTGGGGTGAGGAGGCTGTCTACACAGAGGCAGGCCTGGTGTGAGCATTTGCCCCACGCCACACAGGCAAGGCTTGAACACCTCGCTCTGGTTCACCGTGGTTCCCATTCCAGAGTCACCACTGACATTGTGCCTTCTTTCTTTAACTAAAGTTCTACCGCTTTTTAAGAGAATTGGGATCATCATGTTTAAAACCAACAGTATTTTCAATTCCATGACTCTCTATTCTTTTCCATTATGGGGAGATAATCAAGATAACTCTTGTAGAGAATGGTACTGGGATATCAGAAATGTAGTTCTCTGGGCAGTGGTGTGAGAATACTGCTTGGGCTCCCTTGCATCTGTTCCCACTTCACATGGTATCAGTAATTCATTGAGGAGAATAACTTTGGGGAGAACCAACAATCTTCCATTCTTAGGACACAGGATTTGGAGTAAGCAGACTCCAGCCAATCAAAGGCTGTGACCTGGGCTTAGACACATCAGAGCCTCTGACCAACTCTACAGGCACCTAGAACAGCGTGACAGATTGTGTTTTGATGGGATGGCCTCTGTGTATCTCCCATCCCACAGGCTCTTCTTACAGGACTGCAACAGCCCTCCCACTCACAGGTGGGTTTGTGACCTTTTTTGTTAAATGGGGCTGAGGGGGGCTTTAGATGCCACGAACCAGTGAAATAGGGTAGAAGTGATGCATTATGACTTCAAAGTCTAGGTAATAAAAAGAACACAGCTTCTGCCTGCTGGCTCTCTTTTTGGGAGATGCTCACTCTGGGAAGCCCACCATCATGATGTGAGGAAGACCCTACAAACCCATGTGCAGAGACTACTTGAGAGGCCCTCACGGAGAGGAAGGGATGTGCCGAGCAGACAGCCAGCACCAACCACTGGGCATGTGTGAGCAAGCCTTCAGGTGATTCTGGCCTCCAGGCACCAAGCCTCTGCTAACACCAAGGGGAGCAGAGGGTACCCATCCACACTAAACCCAGAGCAAAACGCAGATTTGTGGACAAAATCACTTTGGTTGTTGTTTTAAATCACTCAGTTCTTTAGGAATGGAACAAGCCCTCTTCAGCCATGGCCACACCTTCTGTCCATCCATCTAACCATCATGCTCACCACCCTTGTCTGATCCCTGATGGTTTTGTCTCCTCCACTAGAAGCAAGGTATCTCATATCAATACCCCCAAGTCTCACAGAGAACGGGGCCTCCACAAATAATCATCCTCAATAATGAGCTCCAAAGAGAGCCAAGGAAATGAAGATAGTGTTGGATCTATCATCACAAGACTCAGGTTGCTGGGGCTCAGGGACCTGCTACTGGGTGATCAACATCTTCAACCACGCCACGTGTACCCGGCAGTTCCTGCTTTCTGTGAGTATGGTCAGCACTGAGACAAGAGCTGCGAGTGCTTGTGTGGTGACTGATAAGCTCTTGTTCCACTCAGGCCCGAGGACTTGATCAGATGGCAGTGTGAGGCATTCAGAGGGTTATGCGATAACGGCCACAAAACTTAGGAGACCCTTGGAGTTAGACGACAAAGAGGAAGCATCAGCAGCTGTGACCTGGGCAGCCTTCCTGGGGACATGTGGCCACTGCCACTCATGGTGGCATTTCTTCTGTCCCACAGGGGAGAGTCAGGTGAGTGACTGTCCCCACTAACATAGGCCCAGCTTCATCCCTCACTGGCTCAGCCCTGCTCAGACTCTGCACTCAGATACATCCTAGTGCTGGTCCATCCGAGAACTATCTGAACTCCAGGTCTAAACTCCCTCAAACACCAGCAAATCTGACGCATAATGAAAACTCAGCAGGAATGGCAGGGCAGAACGCTTTTCTCCAGGAGGGCCAGTGGGTGCTGTTCCTCCCCAGGCCCTACCCTTGTCATCTGGAAAGCGGGTTCTTTTACAAAGGCCTCGGGAAGGAGATTGGGAGCTGGGAATGGGAAATAATTAATTCCCGAGCAAAGGGCAGCTTGGAGAAAGGGGCTGGCTTCTGAAATCAAAGTAGGGCCCAGTAGCTTTCTAACTCAATGTCCTAAAAGATATCCTCCAATTCCATTCCCTTCTCCAAGCTTTGTCACTCCCATGCCACCCAGGAAAGAAGCTAAGGATCCAGTTGATCCCAGAGCTGGCAGCATCCCAGTTCCCTTAACACTGATGTTCAGCTGGTTCACTCTCAAGTTCTCTCTGGTAAGTTTTCAGTCAATGGGCACACCTTTGGCTGGCTCCATCTTGCCTGCTTCTCAGAACCCCACCAGGACTATCCCAACCTACACTACTCAGAGGCTAACTGGGAGCCATTCTTTGGGGCAGACAAGACATTTACTGGGCACCTACAACCTGCCAGGCTCAAGTAGATACAGAGCAAACACAGCCCAGCTTCTTGAGCTCATGTTCCGAATATTACAGACCAGCAGCCAGTGAGGTCAGGATAAGAAGAGGGAGGAGAGGACTCAGAGAACGTCAGGGAAAGGATTTTGCAGGATTCAGCAGGACTCCATCATTTGTTCCAAACACCATTCCTGTCTGCCACACATGTGACTACAGCAGGAATTAAGGACGAAGGCTGCTCTTCTCTTTGACAGAGAGAGAATTTGAGTCCGGAGGGTCACTAGGCAAGCCTGGGTTTCAATGCCAGGAACTTGCAGGGCCCCCTTCTTGATTGCTTCTGGCTGCTACAGACCCCACTGTCTGCCATTCCAGCTCCTTCCCACCCTGCTCTCCTTTGTCCCCAGTTCCCTTCTCCAGCCTGTGACTCCATGAGCACAGCAAGCAGGGTAGAATTCTTCTTTCAGGGAAAATCATCCGGGGCCATGAGGCCAATCCTTATTCTTGTCACTATCTGGCATTTCGTCTGATCCAGACTCCAGAGAAAAGAAAAAGCTGTGAGAGTTTCCTCATGTGTGAGGACTTTGTGCTGACAGCAGCCGCTGGCTGCTGAGGAAGTTGAGGAACAGCATGTGGCCCCACCCTTCTGGTGACACTTCATAGAGAACTGCCTTCTCAGGAGCTGCAGAGCTGGGCCACCTAGTAACACAGAAGAGCCCTTCAGAGGACAAGTAAGCTTTGGAGAGAGAGGGACAGGTCTGTGCAAGCGGCCTGTTGAAGAGACGGGCTGGTCAAAGGTGGCATCGGGAGGAGGCTGAGGTCATGCTCCATGCCCAGAGTGCACAGGGGAGAAATTCAAGGTTTTGCTTAGAGAAAGGCAAGCTCTGCACCTGACTGAGCACCTGGAATCTGCTCCAGGAACTGCCAGGCAACTTGGAATGCCAAGAAGCAGAGGACAGGGGGATGCTCAGCCCCAGGGCCCCACTGCTGTAATTCCCCGGTACTCCAGTCCTGCCATGTCCCAGGCTATTCTGCCTCCTTCATGGCTCCTGGGGTGCATCTCCTGTGACTGCAAATCCCATTCTGCTCTGTGCAGCTTAACCCACTTCTCCCTGAGGCTCCACAACATCCAGGAGCAGGAAAGGTTCCATCACGTCATCCCTGTGAGAGGAGCCATCCCCCACCCAGACTACAAGCCTAGGAATTTCTCCAAGGACATTGTGTTACTAAGGGTAGGGCACATTGCTCCCCTGGTTCTTGCACACTTTAATCCTGAGGTTTTGCATCCCCCACAACCTCACTCCTGTCCCTCCTTCCCAGTATGACCCTTTCACTTGTCTCAGGGCTGTGGAGAGGGCAACTCCATGACTGTCCCTGGAGTCTTTGTGAATTACTCTTCTCTGTCTTCAGCTTGAAGAGGATGGCCAACCTGACTGACTCTGTGAGCCCCCTCAGGCTGCCCAGGAGGAGAGAGCTGGCAAAGTCAGGGACGGTGTGCAGTGTGGCTGACTGGGAGCACCTTGGTGGGAGCACTCCCTTCGCCATAAAACTGTGGGAAGTAGAGCTTGATATCCAAAGGGATGAGCAACGCATCTCTCACTACAAAGACCATTACAACAGCGTCACCCAGATATGTGTGGGGGACCCAACAAAGAGTAAGACTCTTTTTAAGGTGAGATCCCCAGCACTGTCCACACCCAGCCTGGGGTACAGCCAAGCTTGAGGAGATCCGGGGCAGAGGGAACTAGCTATATCCTTGTGTACTCAGCCTTGTCACCAACTCAGTCTGTGGTCCTGTCACCCTGCAGGGATAGGAGACTCTACCACAGCCACTTATAGGCAAATTCTTCCTAGGGGAGGAGAAGAAGGGAAGTGTCAGAGCCAGGCTGGTGTCCCAGAACCAAAGAGGGTCACAAAGGCTGTCGTGACCCACATCTCACTCACAGCCCCCAAACAGAGACTGCTTAACCTCAGGGCATAAGGGAGAGGAGGAGCAGGAGAAGGCCCAGCCCAGCCCCTCCTCCCCTGCCCACAGGGGGAGGCTAGTGGCTCCCTTGTGTGAAACATGGTGGCTCAGGACATTGTCTCCTTTGGAAAAAAGAATGGCAAAAATTCACCTGTCTACACCGGGACCTCGAGCTTTCTACCCCATGGAAAAAGTGCCTCCAGGATTGATCCATCCATCTTCTCTGGGACAGAAGCCAGCAATGCACTGGGTAGAGGAGGATGGAGGGGAGGCTGCCAGGGACTTAATAACCTTCCATCTTTAGAGTGGAAATCATTAATTCTTTCTTTATTCACCAAAATGTCCTAGAGCCTATAGCGTATTGAGCAAATTTTTCAACAATCTCTACATCTTGTATGTAAGAATGGATTCAGAAAAGTAAACTCATTTTCAAAATATCCACCTTAGAGAAGGCTAAACTAGAAAGAAGTCGTCTGCTGAATGTTTGCCATTGATCACTGTGCTTCGACTATGGGAAAATGTTTACTGGGTACAAAAGTAATGTATGTTTATCACAGAAAGACAGGTAAAGGCAGAACAGACAAATAAGAATATGAAAATTCCCAAGAATTTCACCACCCCGAGATCATCATCATTAGTGCTTAGGCAGGTTCCCTTCCCCTCTTTTGCCAAGCCCCTCTCCCGCCCCTACATGGTGTTTGTTCAGTTTCTGCTTTGAGAACAAAAAGAAGAGGTGTGGTGGTGTCCTCGTGTGAGAGGACATTGTTCTGATGGCTGCTCACTGCCGGGTAAGGTGAGGGGCACAGACAACTGACACCTCCTGAGACCCCTACAGGGACCTCAGTCCAGGGGCTGCAACCCAGGTGAGCTCCCCCAGCTCCTGGTAACTCAAGGCCATGAGAGGAGCCATCTGAGAGCATGACTGGTGACAGAAAGTGAGAAATAGGACAGGGAAACTTTGGGGTCAGAGCGTCTGATGTGAAAGCAAGTGACTCAGTTGAGAAGAGAGACCACACTGGCCAACTAAAGCAGCTGGGAAAGCTGAAAGCAATCATTAGGGTGAAAAGGGAAACTCAGAGTATTTTCAAAATGTGACTTGAGGGCTAGAGAAAGCATCCAGGTGACCTACCCTCAATGTCATTGAGAAGCACAGGGGACACACTCACTCAGTGCCCAGTCCTCCTCTTGTTTTGATTTCCACTAGCTGCAGCCCTGCCCTCCCCCATGTCATCTGCCCTTCATGATTCCAGGGCTGGATCTCTTTTGATTCCATGCACCCCACCACCTCACTCTATTTTTTTTGTAGAGTAATCAATGTCTCCCTTGGGGCCTATAACATCCAGAAGCAGGGGAAGACCCAGCAGGTCATGACTGTGAGACAAGCCATCCGCCACCCAGACTATAATCCTAAGAACCTCTCCTATGACATCATGTTACTAAAGATAAGGGAACCTCCCTGCTGCTCTTGCTGTCCTGGGTCCAGATTTCTTCCCCTCCCACTGGAACCTCTCTCTTCCTTCCTTCCCATCCCTGCCACCTGACTAGTCCCAATGGTTCAGGGGAGAGGGAAGTCAGTGCAGCCCCATCGCGGTGTCCAGGCCCAGGAGGCCAGTGGCTGAGCTGGACTTTCTTGCCTCTTCCCATCAGCTGGAGAGACAGGCCAAGCAGACTACAGCTGTGAGGCCCCTCAGCCTGCCCAGGGGCAAGGCCCAGGTGAACCCAAGACAGGTGTGCAGTGTGGCCGGCTGGGGGAAAGTCTCCCCGGCAGACAGAGTGTCCGACACACTGCAGGATGTGGAGCTGACTGTGCAGAAGGATCATGATTGTTACTCCCACTTCACCCACCATTACAACCAGGCCCCCCAGATTTGTGTAGGGGACCCGAAGATGATGAACAACAGCTTCAAGGTAGGGTTTCCAGCATCTACCAAGACAGACCCAGGGAGAAAGGAAATGGGGAGCTCTGGGGGATGGGAGTGGCCATATCTTCAAGCCTCAGCCTGAGAGCTTGGGCAGCCTGGGTCCAAGAATGCAGTCTTTAGGTTTTTCCCCACAGCAGATCAGGGCTGCAGGGCAAGGAAGGATCAGTCATCCCACAGCTGGGTTCTCACCAAAATTTCCCTGAGGATTAGGGAGAAAGCCTTGGCTGGGTGGAACTGCATGTAATAGTCAGAGTCAGGCTAGAGGCCTGGGATGATGGAGGTGACAAGGCCTGCCCAGGCCCTGCTCTTCCACACAGCCCATAATGTAGGCCACTGACCCCTGGGGTGGAGGGAAGGGCAGGACCACTAGGTGGCCAACTCAGTCCTTCCTCTCTCTGCCCCCAGGGGGACTCCAGAGGACCCCTCATCTGCAACAAGCTGATCCAGGGTATCTTCTCCTATGGACAAAACAACAGGACCCCTCCAGGAGTCTTCATGAAGGTCTCACACTTTCTGCCCTGGATAAAGTCAACAATGAAGTGCTTCTAACAGCAGGCAGGAGTCTGACCTTCCTCTGTGCCTGACCATCTTTTCTGGGGCAGAGGCAGGACTCCCATGGGGCGGGCAGTGGGACTGAGGGGCCATAATAAACGGATCTCTAGCGAGTGTGACTGAAGTCTCACGGACTCACTGAACCACTTTCAACACACAACAGCATGCTCCAGGCAGCCCTCTGCTGTCAGTTGTGGCTGTCCTTCCTCCTTCCTCCTCCAGCCCTCCTTCCCCCTAAACCCCATGCTGTATCCTTTCTCGGTCACAGCTCTGTGGTGCTGAGCCCTGTGCAAGGGCTGAGTCTGAAGGCTGCCCATTATAATAGGACAAACTTCTTCCCCAAAATATGTTCCTCCCTGGTCTTTAGAAAGTTCTTGCCTTCTCTAACCCAACCACCATCACCAACACCCTGACAATTTGGCAGAGAGAGGAGCAGGTCAGTGGAAGGGGAATAACTCCAGGGAGACAGGAGGCCAGGGGGCCAGGCCGTGGGCACTGAGTTTCCTGTTTCCAGGGCTTCTGTCTCCAGTGGGGCAGCTTCTCCTACAGCCAGGACCATCTTCAGCTTCTGACGCTCAGATGCTGCCATGATGGCCTCCAGCCTCACTCTGGTCCCATTTCCTGCCCTACCCCGGGCACAGAACTGAGCTCGCTCAACCTTCATCCCTGGCTGACTATCCCACACCAACCTCTATTTTCCTTCTGACTGCCCTGTCTACCAGCTCCTTTCCCTTCCAGCCCACCGTGTTTTGAGCCAGCTTCTCTCTCATCTCCCTAACCGAGTTCCCAAAGTCCCATGTGAATTCCCCTCTATGGCTTGTCCCTGTCATGCCTGAGCTGCCGGCCCACCTGATGCCTATCAGAGGACCCAGTACGCACTTCCCACCTGAACAGAGACAGTTCAGGTCCTCCATCCAGCCTAGCATTCCCAGGGCCATATCCACAATGTCCTGTGAAGTCACTCAGCAGCCTTAGCCCCTTTCAGCCTGGCCGGTCTCCCCCTGCTGGCAACCTGGTTTACGGCAGCTCAGTGTGCCTGAGGGCTCCAGGGCTGCTGGGCCAGAAAGTACCACTTGGCTGTCCATCAGTAAGTCAACTATGATCTCTTGCTTTGTGCCTGACACATAAGAGGCTGTGTCCCTGATACTCGGAAACTTAGATGGAGGGCAATTTCCTCTACATTCTCTTAGTTCCTCCCCTTCCCCCAGGCAGGTCAGTTTGGCAGATAGATTGGTATTTGGAAACCACAAGACATTTTGCTTTGAAAATAATTAAAATCTTGTATTTTATCTGTATTGCACTTTAGAGTTTCACATAAGTCATCTTGTTCGATTCGAGAAGGGCAGTGTGAAATTGGAGGAGACTTCAAGACCCACAGTTCCTGAGTTTCCCAATCTGTGCTCGAGTATCCCATGACAGGACAGGAGGGAGGGAGAGAGGAGAGAGCCACCTGGGCAGCCTTATCTTTATTTATTGACATGTAGAAGGCATGAATCCTAGTTCACAAATGCACAAAATGCCACATTTCAAGTCCAGATCCTTCACTGTGATGAAAATAGTAAGAATAACAAGAAGCTTTCACATCTTGAGGTATGGGGGAAGCTGTTCTGGTTTAACCATGATTCAACCTAAAACTTGCTTTCCCCTGAGCAGCCTGACTTCTGATCCACCAAACATTGTACATCTGCTTCAAACATCTTTCCAATGCAAAGAATGCTGTTCTTATTTTATTCATTTATTATTTATTTATTGAGGAAGGTTAGCCCTGAGCAAACATCTGCTGCCAATCATGCTCTTTTTGCTGAGGAAGACTGGCCCTGACTTAACACCCGTGCCCTTCTTCCTCTATTTTATATGTGGTTTTCCTGCCACAGACAGCATGGCTTGGTCCACACCCAGGATCCAAACTGGGCTCCCGAAGCAGAACGTGCAAACTTAATCACTGCACCACCAGGCCGGCCCCAAGAATGCATTCTATAAAGATGAGAATGAATGTCTCTCTTTCTCTGACTCCAATACCAGCACTTCTTTGAAGATAAGCTCTTCTTCTCAGAGGACCAAGGTCAAGTTGCCCTGTTATGTATGTGCTAAACTACAGAAAAACATATCCTTGTGAGTTGGAAAAAAATTTCATTCCTATCCTATTTCATGTATGTTCTAGTTTGTGAAATGTTCTATAGCCATGCTGTGTCCACACGTCTCAGGAGAGCTTTCTTCCCTGATGGAGATAGCACTTCTGGACTAGTCCTCAGCAATGGCTCAATAAACATCGCTCTATCTTTCTTATCTAAAGATTGGTCATTGAATATTTTTGTCACCAATTATGACCCAGATGATCTTATTTTAGGATCCCGTATCCTGCAAAGAGTTCCACCGATAAATTGCATGTGACAGAACGCAACAAATTTGTGATAGCTGGACAAACACTGAATCAGTTGGGACCAACATCAAAAAGAGAGGAACCATCATGGAGAAGAATAACAAACAAATCACACAGATATGGAAAGTAAAATCCAGCACATTGAAAACTAAGATGAAAAGCAAAGAAAGCTTATTTTTCCTTCAAGACAGTCCCCATGTCCATCCACCAAGCATTCTGTGGGACCCACAGTACCAGCAGAAGCACCAGCAGAGGCATGAAGGAAGAGCTGACTGCACGTGCGGAGATGAGCAAGTGAACAGTAGAAGGGGCAAGAGCCAGGGGACAACTTCGGCTCACAGCGATAAAAAGAACACTCTTAGGAAAAGTCGTCACAGTGAAGAAATAGAGACCCCAGAAAGTCAGCCATGAGGAGCTCCATAGAGCCCCAGGGTGTAAGCCAGAGCCAGCAAGAGAGTAGCCAGGGATATTCACCACCAAGGACTTGGGTGTGTGGCCTTGAAGGACAGTGCCTGGTGGGTCAATTCCCTCTCTCACCTGATAAGAGCATTTAACATGGTATGACACATGTTAAGAAGGAAAATGATGACCTTCTGATGCCTGTAGCTTCAGGAAGACTGAGATGTTCTTGATTATACTTGTTTCCTTAAAACGGATTCTAAGTCAGTTTATATCTATTTCTCTCTTTTGATCTAGTCATTTTTCTTCTAGGACTTATTCTTACACAAGGTCTAAAGTATAGGAGTGTTTGTGTGTCTTATTAATAAATATGTTCACCACACCATTGTTTAACAATAAACCCCAAGTTGGAATCAGTATTAATCTCCAAAATAGGAAACTGGTACAATATGGCACCTGCTCATTATGGATTCCTCAGACCTTACCATCGACAGTATCCACTGCTGGAGAAAACTGGGCTAAGAACATTAACAGGTAAGTTATAAAAGAACTAATCAACATTTGGAAAAAAGGAGAAGCTCACTTATTAATCAATACTAAATAAAATGTTAATAAATTTGTGTTTACCTAACCAGGAGAGATTTACAAAAATAACAATGGTTACATTCAGTATGAACATTGAGAAAATGGCATTTTCGGACCTTGTGCACAAAGGTTCATAAGAAAAAAGGAACAAAGGAATCTTTCACCTAGCCTTCAAGCACAATGAGAGAAGTGGACAAGGTTATTCCTTACAGATTTGTCACAAAAGTCAAAGCTTCGAAACAATGCCAATGTTCAGTACCAATTTGGGGATGAGTTTTTGAAAAGTTTCATACCAGTGAACACTATGGGAACTTGAAAGTTTTGAGACTGAACTAAGTCTTTTTGCAGAGAAGAATGTTCACCAGGTGTGTTTAACCCTAATTGGTTAGAGATCCATATATACTCCAATCGTATCTTTGTTTATACTTATATTTTCCTTGTAGGTTTTTTTAGTCCAACATATCCACGTCATAATTTTTCTGTATTATTTAGATAACTTGAAAACCTATTAAGTAAATATGAATGAGATCATTAAATGATTTTTAGCAATAGATTTTTAATAAAATGAGGGAAATGTTTATGTTGAATAATTTAAATGATAGGATGAAAAACTAAATGTACTGTGATCATATCTAAGTAAAACTTAACATAGAAAAAAATCTATGTGGAAGGACTTCTGTTAACAGTGGTCAGCTGGGTGGTGAGATGAAGGATGACATTTTTCTTCTTTCTTTTTTTAACTTATTCTATATTTTAAACTGTATACTGATTAAAATAATTTTATTTGTATGAATATTACAATTCAGAAAATGGTAGGCTTCAGGAAGATGGTCCATGTGTTAGTTAAGATAACTTTAATTATTCTAACTGATAAACTTGAGCATTTCAGTGACTAACTCAACAAAAGTCTATTTCTTGCTCACACACAGTCCAAAATGAGTTTCCTGGTGTGTGGTGCCCCTCTTACTCTCAAGTGTCCCATTTTGGACAATCATTACATGGTCAACACATGATTAAGGGGCTAGAGTCAGTCCCCTGAAGGTGGCATCTGTGTTCCCCATGTTCACCTGCATCAAACCATGGAAGGGGAGGAGTCTACACGGTCAGCACAGGACTGTGTTAGGGGCCTAGTCTGGAAGGTGCCCACAGCACTTCCACTCACATCCCATTTGTGGGCACAGTCACACAGCCACACCTGACCTCAAGTGAGGCTGCACAGTGTGGCTGACCTGTGTCCCCTGGAAGAACAGGAAATTGTTTTATTAAACTGCTAGCTCATCTCAACCACGATGCTTAATAGTATTTGCTGTTTATAGGGATCATGAGCCCTAAATCTTTTTCTGCCTATAAAAGTAATACATGTCAATTATAGAAAAAAAAACTAGATAACATAAAGGTGAAAATAAGAGTCACATAAAACGGTTGTTCTGGTTCTTGTCTTTTTCTTTAACAGAATTAGTATCAAATTGTATACACTGTTCTACAGTCTACTTTTTCCACCTGATGTTAGATGATGCAAACCTCTCCATGCCACTAAGCAGTCTTTAAAACACGGTGGCTTTGAACAGCTGGCCAGCATTCCACCCATGAATACATCACAGTGTGTGTCACCACTCACCTATCTTGAATATTTGGATTCTCTGAGCGTTTGTGGGAGAGGGTTTCAGGGACTATGTCCACCTCCACCTCTTCCTATATTTACTCAGGGCCCTAGGATCAGCTGCTCAGTCTCAGAAGTGAGCTTTTCTGCCAGGAAACACTGAGGGTCTGGCACCTTTTTCAAATCTCTGCCACGTTCAGTGTCTAGTTCGCTCTTTCCCACTAACTTCTCTGAGGGGAAGACTGTATGCTGATGTCACTGAATGTCCTATGTCCCCAGCTCTTTCTACAAGGGCAACAGCACAGGTCACTTCTTGGAAAGAGAGTTTCTCACTCCCAGCAGACACCTGTGGTGGGAAGACAGTGGCGCGGGCACAGGCTTATCCCAGCACTGACACTCCATGAAACATCACAAGCTCATCAGTAGAACCTTTTCTAAGAGCTTCCAAAACGTCCTTCTGAGTGTGACATTAAGGCAGCCCTGGGGATGTCTGGAATGGCTCAGTAGTACACTGCTCTCCTGCAAAGCCAAGAGCCATGAGATTGGTTTCTGACCACAGCAGCATCAGAATGAAGGAAGGAGAAGTGAACCGGCACCAGCCTGCTCGGAAGATTTGCATTGTTGGCAGCCTAGGGGGCCCAGGGAGGAGGTGGGATGCACACGAATTTAATGTCCCAACATCCCAGAGAAGAAAAATGTTGTAACTGATGGAAATGTAATAAAACAGGCCGAAGTAGATGTAACTAACTATGGATGTTTTGAAACATCTCACACTCATATTTGATCTAATATTACAATGTTTTACTAAAATAGAAAATGAAAACATTTAATAAACATAGGTATCCCTATCTACTCTCATACATCCCACTCTCCATGGACAACTCATGGAAAGAAAGGGGAGGACAGCTAATTTTTGACAAAGGAGCCAAGAGCAGACAATGGAGAAATGCAAGTCTCTTCACTAAACACTGTTGGGAAAACAGGACAGCCACAGGAGAAAGAAGGAAAGTGGACCATTATCTTTACCACACACAGGTTAACTCAAAATAGATTAAAGACTGGAATGTGAGACCTGAGACCATAAAACACCTAGAAGAAAACATAGGCAGTACTCTCTTTGATATATGTCTTAGCAGTATCTTTTTGACTATCATGTCTCCTCAGGCAAAGGAAACAAAAGAAAAAATAAACAAAAGAGACTACACCAAGATAAAAAGCTTCTGCTTGGCAAAGGAAACCATTGACTAAAGGAAATGATAACCTAGCAACTGTGAGAAGATATTTGCAAATCAT